CGAGTTGCTGCCAGCTCTCTGTGCAAAAGGATCCGTCCTCCTTCCTTCCCGTCTCCCAGTCGCCCATGCAGCGCAGGAGCCTGCGGGCTCTGCATCCCTAGGATAGAGAGAATTCCCCATTCCTGCCCCGTCCCGGTGCTGGCAGCAAGGTGCCCTCACCCGAGTGGGCATCCCCCACTTCTGCCTTCCTTGACATCAGCCGTGTGGTGTTCCTGTCCTTTGCCACGTGGAAGGAGGCGGCACGGCGGGGGAGTGGCAGCAGTGGGGGACAAGGGGATAGCAGGAGGCAGGTGGAAGCAATAATTGGCCGTGATCTAATTAGGGAAGCCTAGGGCTAGATTAGGAGCGGTGACAGAGCGGAGGGTTTTTAGCCGTAAGCTGCAGATGGTTCTGGCTGGAGCGGGTGAGGAAGAGGCTGGTGGGGACTTGCTGGGAATGGGTAATCCTGCCCGAATGGTGCCCCGCGACACGAGGCTCCGGGCAGGGGTGCTGCCCCAGGCTCCTGCCTCTTGCAGGCTGAACCTGCTGGGATTTGCCTGCTGTGGAATGGGGATGCGGGGGGATTGGGGAAGCAGGTGATGGGCATGTGGGGTATTTGGGATGGGGCTGTGCCCCGGGCTCCCGGGGGCTGTTGCTCCCTCTCCAAGCTGGCGTTTCCCCGCTGCTGCTTGCCCCCCGCCCGGCACAGCGTGTCCTGACCCCGCGTTCCACCTCGGCCTCTCCCTCAACATAACGCGCTTCCAGTGAAATTCCTTTCTGGCCAGTCATCGCTGTCCCTTGGCCTCGACGCCTCCGCGGCCGCTGCTGGCCGGGCCAGGCTTCCTCTTCCTGAGCCTGCCGGCCCTCCCGCCCGTCCTGCTGCTCCCGACCCCTTCCTCGCCATCCCCTCTGCAGCAATGCCTTGCCCAAGCTCCAGATGGGGACCATACTGGATACCTCCAAAGGCTCCCAGCCCAATGCACCCCGGCCACATGTCCTGCATGACCAAGACATCTCCAGCCGTTGCACTTGTGTCCCCTCCTGCATGTGACACCAGTGACACCCCCTCCTGCACTGTGGCTTGTGCCCAACCCGGCTTGTCACCCTGCCACATCCTTGTGTTGCTAATTAGAGGGTGAATGCTTTGCTCTTCCACAGCCCCCTTCACCTGTGGCTCTCCAAGTATTGTGCAAATATTAATTACTGGTAATTAATTAAATCAAGTCTCCACATCCCCCGCGGAGGTGCTGCCACATAAACATGCTCATAGCAAACATAGCATCAAGGCAGGATCTCCGAGCTGGGTCACAGCTTGCAATTACCTGTCGCTAACGATGCCCAACCCACCTGCAGCAGCTTCCAACCCTGCTGGAGGGTAAACAGCATAAAAGAGGGAGCAGGGTGGGCAGGAGGGGCTTTATTCTAGTAAGGGGTAATGGGTGGGTGGTGGAAAAGCCCTCTGGTCTCCTGTTTCTTGCAGCTTGTGCTGCTGTATAGGATTGATCCTGGCTTGCTTGTTGCAGCCTTTCAGCCCTGCACAAGCTGCTTTATAAGGTCGATGTTTGGCTCCAACCTGTCCCTGGCTGCTCCAAGGGCTCTGGAGGCTGCACGGGCATGTGGAGCTCCCTGCACATGGTGCTCGTGCAATGCTGCTGTTGGGACAGGAGGGCTGGGCAGGCAGAGCGGACCCTCCTGGAGTGCGAGGTGGGTGTTTGGGAAGGAGGGAGGGGGCAGCCCAGCGATGCGGTGGTGCTTGATGGCTCGGGACAACTTGTGCCTCTTCCTGGGCCGATGCTGGCCTGGTGCCCATGTCCTTCCACCCTTCTGCTTACGTACAGCCCATCCCGAGGATTGCACAGGGCCTCGATCCATGACCGGAGGTGCCACCTTAATCCGGATCGCAGGAGCTGTGTCGCGTGCCCACGTGGCAGCTCCGCTGCCCGGCCTCGGCCACAGCGGCTCCATCCGTGGGATGTGCTGCACGGATGGAGCTGCATGGATGGAGCTGCACGGATAGAGCCTGGCCAGCACACGGAGGCACCCAGGGGAGCCCAGCCTGGGGGAGCGCTCTGCGTGCAAACATTCGGGAACACACGTGCATTAATACTGCACCAAACCAGATTAATTTCTTGCTAGACGAGCAAGAGCAAGGGCAAAGTGGGGTGAGATTAAGGCATTCCTTGGGCAGCTCCCAGCCCTTCATCCCGACTGCTGCATCTCGGCCAGCGAGGCCGCTAATGCTACTTACCTTATTACTGGATTATTTGGGGGTAATGAGCTTTGCCCTGCTCAGCTGTCCCTCTGCTCGGGGCTTTGGGCATGTGTAATACTTCCTGCGCGAGGCCACGAGGTGGGCAGCTGGCGGCTCGAAAACAAGCCGAGCCCCAGCAAAACAATGCGTTAATGTTCCCGAGAAAAAAAATCCAGCATGGGCTTGGCGGTAATTGCAAATCAAGGAGCTTTCTGCGTAAGGCTGAACAAAGGCAGCGGGCGGGAGGGCAGCGGTGCCCCCAACAAGGTCCCGGCCGACCTTAGTGGGTGCAGAGCAGGAGGGACCACGTTGATTTAATTGCTCTGCTGGCAGAAGTAGAGCTGTGAGCACCTCTGCCATCCTAAACTCTTCTGCTTCCTTTCCTCCCATCAAACCTGTCGGCACAGGGCCTTGGTGGCGTGTTGCTATGGTCACCAAGAAGTTTCCCCTGGAGATCAGGAGCAGAACGAGCGATGCCTGCATTTCCCCCCCCCCCCCATTTATTTATTTATTTATTGTATTATTGCTGATGTTTATTTAAAAGTTGATTAAATCCTGGACTTTCTCTCCACCTCCCTTACGCTTTTCAGCCAAGGTCTGTGGATTGACGTGGCTGCATCTCAGGGCTTGGCTCCCGCTTTGTTTTCCGAGAGGGTACAAGTGCAGGATGCGTGGGAAGGAAGGTTTCAGGGCTGTAACTCTTGCTCTGCTGGAGACCCGTGCAAGAAGAGATTCTCCATCTATTGAAGTAAGACAGCACAAGTAGGAGGCCCAGCCTTGAGAAGATCCTGGTGAAACCAGGATCTTCTGTCCTATCTCCCTCCAGGATGCCGCAAGCGGGTTGTAGTGTCCATAGGCTCCCACCAAAGCAGCAGCTACAGGTGGTGCTGGAGCTTGTGTGCCCAGAGCTTACACCTTCCTGCAACACATAGAGCAGAAGCATGGGCAAGAGCACCGTCTTCCCCCTTGCAGACGTTCTTCATCATATTTGGATCCTAAAGATGATGAAGATCTAGAATCAGACACAGAAAAGAGTGTCTCCTGCTCTGACCTCTAGGCCTGACTCTCATCTCATAGTAGCTCTGATACCATTCCCTTTGGTACTGGAAGTGCCTTTGCTGGCCATGAGAGCCCTTAGTCTACAGGAGCATGCACAAGAATGAAATTTTGGCAGTTCTTGGAAGTTTATTCCAAGCCTGGAGTCTGAGTTTCACAGCAGGGCTTAGGAGAGGGCCCCATAGGGAAACATGGCTTTTTTTTTTTTTTTTTTTTTTTTTTTTTTTTTTTTTTTTTTTTTTTTTTTTTTTTTTTTTTTTTT